TTTTTTTTTACAAGAATTATACTATTTTATTTGGTTACCATGGCAACTTTATCATATAATGATTTTCTGAACATCTGTTTCTCTATCTATCTATTCATAGTCCTGACAACACCATTAGTTTTTTATCATTCCATGTAGAATAATCGAAAAAAGAAGGTATCACATTTTTAATCACAAATTCACAGATACAAAATACATTTATGTGTTAAAAAAATTAGAGACATTTAAAAGTCTGGCAAAGAAAATGGATGTATAAAATCTGAAAATAGTCTGTATTTAAAAAATAATTTTTGTTTTACATGTTAAATATTTTCATTAAAATATATTAAAACATTATTTCATGACATAATTAGATACTGGCATAAGGTGAGGGAACAGTATTGCAGTTCACTACCTTAATTAAGATAAGTATATATACTTGCATACTAAAGTAAATAGAACTGTATTGATTGTCAGAGTGAGCATGTGTGTTGTGTATGCTATGGGCTACTGGGTCAGTAAATGACTGTCTAGATCTCTCTAGTTGTTTGTTTTGCTTACTGACTGAACATATGAGTCAGAATGATCTTTTTCCAGTCTTTCCGCAACCAATGAGTCAGAGTGTCAGACAAACCGGTTTAGACGATTCTAAGCTGAACATCATTGCAGATCAGTTACCATAATGCATGTCATATTTTGAATGTCGGGAAAATAAAAGATGCATGTTCTGTTTGGTCATCTCTGCCACTGATATATTATTTATGTCCTTCAAGCAAGTTCTCTTAAAGTCTGTTGGCATCTATTAGAAGGCTGATCATTGATTTGGTGCCCATTTTCATCTGTACCTTTAGTATCTGCGGAACTCTGGTCCTGTGGCAGCTCAATCAGGGAGACAGACCTCACTGAAGACAGGCGGCTATGTTGGCTGGTCGTACGCTGTCTTGTTATGTTTGGTTTGCCCAGAACACTCCTCAGCTGGACCCAGAAAAAGCTCCGTTCTGTGGGTTGCTGGGGCCACTCTAGGTAGGTTTTGGTATTGAGCATCTTTTTGAGCTTGCAGTATTTACTGGGAAGAGAAGTGGGATCTATGGGCTCCTTCAGAATCAAGATGACATCACTGAATGTCTTGCCAATGGCCCGTTGTTGGGCGAAGTATAGCTCGTAGTTGCACCACTCACTGTTCACAAAGTTCCGTGACAACACGAAGATTACCTTAATAACAAGAAAACATGTTAGGATGCTGTTTGGGAATTTATAAAATGTTTCAGCACTTTTTTCCACATTTTGTTGATTTAGTTGCTCTCTAATTTATTTTTAGGGGTTATTTTATATGAAAGTTCATTTCCACCTCAGATTAAAGAAATTAAAATAAAGTAATTGTGAGAAATTTACAATATGAAATAAAGTCACATTGTGTAATAATTTATATCTAGAATATAAATAAAGCTGCACTTGCAACATATACCCCCGGTTTCACAGACAAGGCTTAAGCCTAGTCCTAGACTAAAATGTAAGTCTCAGCTGTTTCAAATGAAATAAACTTGCACTGACTGATCTTAAAATATATCAGTGCCTTTCTTTTGTCTCAAGATGCACACCAGTAATGTTTTTTTTTCCTAAGACACGTTTATAAAAATGACTTAAATGTCCTAATTGAACTATGAATGTTCTGACTTAGGCTAAGCCCTGTCTATGAAACCGGGCCATAAAGTTACACTATGTGATATAAAGTTACAAGTGTCAGATATGATGAATAGTCATGTTGCGTCACACTGCACACAACTGTTCAAATGTTTGAAGTTAGATTTTTTTAAGGAAGTTAATACTTTTATTCAGCAAGGATCAATTGATCAAAAGTGACAGTAAAGACTTTTGCATTTGTGTACAAATGATTTCTATTTCAAATAACTTCTTTCTATTCATCAAAGTATCCTTTGAAAAAATAAAATTGCGGTTTCCACAAAAAATATGAAACAGTACAATTGTTTTTACCATTAATAATAATAAAAAATATTTTATGAGCATCAAAGCAGCATATTAGAATCATTTATGAAAAACCATGTGACACTGAAGACTGGAGTAATGGCTTCTGAAAATTCAGCATTGCCATCACATGAAAAAGCCACATTTTAAAATGTAATCAAATATGAATGATTTAAAATGTTAATAATATTTCACAATATTTATTGCTATATTTTTTATCAAATAAATACAGCCTTTGTGAACATAAGATACTTTTTCAAAAACATTTTTAAAATCCTAACGACTAAACTTGGTAGTATATGATGTTGCAACTGTGAGATATGAAGTCATAGTTATGGGAAATAACATTGCAATTCTGAGATATATAATGAACGTTTTATTTTTTTACTTTGAGATGGAAATAGGCTTCTATAATTCGAAGGCTTAGATATTTACATGCAAACTACACTTTTGTGATTTTGGATAATCCTTATTCCAACAATTTCAAGAATGCTGACATTGCATGTTTCTTTTGTAAACAGGCATCTTTGAAGAACATAAATGTGTGTGGACGCACCTTGTGACTATCTTCAATGTTTTCAATGATGTTGTCAATGATCCACTTCCCTGGAGTGAAGTCTCTTTCATGGATGCAGAGGCGGTAAGGAGGCTTAGAATTCTCTAAACAAGGGAGCAGCTGGTTTCGAACCCAGTCTGCGTCCACGTGGCTGTAAGAGATGAAAGCATGAAAGGTGTAGTTCACAGCCTGACCTGAACCTTCTTTATGGGCCCTGTACTTTGTTCTGATGATTTGGTATGTAGCTTTAATGTACCATGGCACGTGAAAAATGTAGCACAGAAGCATGAGACCAAGGACAACGACCACTGTTGTTGACACAGAGATGATGATAACGAGTGTAATATTACAGGCTAAATGACCAGGGAAGTATTGTGATACCATTGTGTTGAGAAGATGCTCGGGATGGTAACACTTGTAGTTGTTTGGCCAGTCTGTGATGGTCACCATGCCCTTGTTTGTGGTTTCCTGTATGAAGGTATAGAGATCACAGATACAGTGGTAAGGGTTGTTGCCTGCGGTCAGGACACTTAGGCTAGGCATGTCCTTAAAAGAACTCATGCTAACAAGTCCAAAGGAGTTTCCATCTAAAGCGAGCGACCTCAAGTATTGATTCCTCCAGCCGGAAGGGATGAACTTGATCTTGTTGCTGCTGAGGAGGAGCTCAGTCAGATTGGATGCCTTATTAAAATAGTCCATGTCAAGCTGGTCTAGGCTGCTGTATGAAAGATCAAGGAAGCTTACAGAAGTGGGAAGGCACTTAAAACTGTCGCTCGTCAGACTATTATGATGAGCGATTACTTTGGTAATGGTCTGTCTCCAGTAACAGGCATGATTTCCCATATATTGCAGCTGGTTGTGGCTCATATCAACTGTAGTCAGCTTGACAAAGTCTTTGGTCAGAGATGCCAAGTCACTGAGGCTGGTAAGTCGATTACGGCTGACGTTGAATGTTTCAAGCTTGTGTAGTGTGTTTCTAGTGTCACATAGCGGGTTATAAATATAACTGTCCCTCAGCTGGTTGTTAGAGATGTCCAGAAGCTCAACACTTTTCATCTCCTGCCACGAATCGCACGGCACGCTGTTGAAGTTCACATTCCATACAATGAATTGGCGGACATGATTTAGCCAGGTAAAGCTCCAGTCGAAGCGCATTATATCTGGATTACTGATGTCCCTGTAGAACAAAACAGCAAGCAAGATCAAAACAATTAAGACGATGAGAATTCTTTGATGAAAAATACATACAGATTTATACGTAGGAATGAGAATCATGAAGAATTTAGTCATTCCTGTTCCAATTCCTCTTAATGATTCGGATTCCTTGATGATTCCATTAACAATTATTTTTGTACTTTTAAGAAATAAATATACTAATTGTTGGGCAAAGAAGAGTTTGTAGTTGCACCACTTGCTGTACAAGAAGTTCTGTGACAACACAAAGTGAAAGTGAAGTGACGTGTGGCCATATATGGTGACCCATACTCGGAATTTGTACTTTGTATAACAGAGTAGCTTGGCCTTCTTTGTCTATCAGAAGAAAAATGCACTGGTATTTAATCATTTATAAAGCCATCTTGGGGATGATGCCTCCATATCTTTGTTGCTTTATACAACTGAAAAAATGTCGAGAAATCTTTCCTTCGTTCTCAAAATTGCTATACTCTCTCTGTTCCTTTTGTTCGAACTGAACTGGGTAAGAAGGCTTTTATGTTTGCAGCTCCGTCTGACTGGAATCTTCTTCAACCGAAATTGAAATTACAAAATTTGCTGTCTGTGGATAATTTTAAAACAGTTTTTCGACAAATGGAAGATGACTCAATGATATGTAATTGTTTTAAGTGTTCTTGGTCTGTTTTTGTTTTGTAAATTTGTGATGAAACTAATTGTATCGCTGCCCATTTTGGCCAGGACACTCCCATGAAAGAGATTTTTATTCTCAGAGAGGTTTTCCTGGTTAAATAAAGGTTAAGAATTTCTTGCAAAAGTTAAGAAGCCGTATAGTTAAGAAGCCTTAACTATATATACACCAGGAAATATGTGGTAACATATTTCATTATTTTATTTTTAATAAATGCCACTGAAAAATACCACATAACGTATATCTTTATCATATGAACAACTAGTCAGTGACTTCACTGATTTAAGTCCCACAGTTAATTGTAAGCTACATGTACTGTATTTGATGATTCACAAAACAACAACAACAACAACAAAAACAGTATCTTAGTAGAGTATTTTATTACAATGTAATGGTAAAAGCAACAAACGTAATTTGATCCCGTTTTTGTTTTTTGCGAAAAATGGAAAGGGTTCTAACAAGGATCTGGTTTTCAGTTCCTGAAATACACACGTTTTTTTTTTATCTTACATACAATAAAAAACAAAAACAACAACAAAAACCTTAACATTAGGATACATATTTAAGCATTTTTAAATCAACATTGAAAAATATAGAAGTTAATATAACTTACGAGAGCACAAGCTTTTCCAAGGTCAAGTTTGTCACACTGGATCCCTGTGTTATATTCTGTGAACGAGCAAAGTCGATGAGCAGCAGTTCCAGGCCTTTGATTGAACTGATTTCCACATTTACCAGAGCCATTCTCATAACTTCCTCATTGAATTTACCTCGATAGAAGGTTAGGAGTTGAGTCTTTACATACCGCAAGCCATAAAAAATATCCTGTTTACCAGTATAGTACTGAAATTCAAAAAGGTTTCGGAAACGTAGCACATCAAAAGTCTTATTTGCCAGATCTTTCAATATCATAGGAAGTATATCTGGGTTTTTGTCAAACGCTATATCGAGCCACAAGTTTTTTGTGTTAAGGTAGCTGAAATACCCAGGTTCATAACTTTTAAAACCAGTGCCAGTTTTAATAGCAAACTTGTCCAATGAGATATACTTCAACACATAAATATCACGGCTTCCCAAACTACTGACCAGGGATCCACCAATGGACAGCACTTTTAACTGGGTGAACTTCAAAAAAGAAGCATCCAGAGACGCTTGAGTGTACAAATTATTGGACATTTCTAAAACCTTCACATTTTTGAGCGGCTCAAGAGCTTTAAATGGAATTTCTGTCAGAGAGTTATTAAATAAGTTTAGATTCTCCAAAAAAATGTTTCCCTGAAAGGCATCATCCACAATCAGAGTGATGTTGTTGAAATTAAGCTTGAGGACTCGCAGATGACTAAGTTTGAAAAAATCTTGTTTGCTGATGACTTGTATGGTATTGAAAGACAGGTCGAGTTCTTCCAGAGAGGCAGGCAGATTTGTTATAGGCACATGGTCCAGCCGTAGACCTTTACAGTCTGCTGAACGCCTATCAGATGTTATTGTACAGGGCAGCTTGGCTTTAGCTGGTTTAATGTGCACAACTGCCTGGAGGCTGAGAAGCAAAGCCAGTGAAACAAACATTCTTGCGCGCTTTGCTTAGATCTGAAACAGAGGATATGGAAAAATATTTCCGTTATTAGCAACCCAACCTTTCAGTTTCAGCATTTTAATTTATGTTAGAAAAATAAGGATGCTTAATGACATGGACATGGTGCAGCAAGCAAATCAAGCTCAGAATTCATTAAATATGCCGTGTTTACTGGAAAGGATAAGAAATTATTATAACTACAGTGTAATTATTATGAATTAATTATTTATGCATTTAGCAGACGCTTTTATCCAAAATGACTTACAGTGCATTCAGGCTATACATTTTTTACCAGTATGTGTGTTCCCTGGGAACTGAACCCACAAACTTTTTTGTGCTGCTAACGCAATGCTCTACCACTGAGCCACAGGAACATAATTATATATGTAATAGCTATGTAAGCATGGCTGACAATGAGGAAATGAGAAAGAAGTTGGCAGATAATAAATGGTTCTATTCAGTCATGAATCAGTCATAGTGTCAGTTTTCAGCTGTTGGAAAAATGAAATGTTCTCACAATACACTTTGTACACAACAATGTCTAATGTTGACTTTTGAAAAAGTGTCCCTTTTATAGAGATATTACCCTTCAAGTACAATCTGATTTTTAGAATCGGCTATAGTGAATAAAATCAACTGTGATTCAGATTACCTATTGTTTGAAAAAGATCAAAAATTGATCTCAAAATCAATCCTAATGTTGCTATGCGAATATGAAAATATGGCAAACAATCCTGTTTAAAATTTATTTATTTTACATTATTTCTTTACACTATAAAAGATCATATTGCATGCCACAAATTAAAAAAGAAATATTTTACCTTTTACATGAGAACCTGTAGTTTTTCAAAGTCTAGGTTTGTGGAAGAAGCAGCAATCCACAATAAACCTTCCAACTTCATCTTTCGGAAAGAGTGAATAGTCAGTCAAAATGTCTTAAAGAGTCCTAATGAGAGTGCAATGCTTATGCACAGTAATAATTAAACACCTATTTGCCATGTGACTTAATGCGCAAATCAATATTTCTGCCTAGGACATGAAAAAGGAAATTATTAACCTAAAGTAGCTCTGCCCTCTATAACAGACCCTTCATTATTGTTTTTACTTCCTTATCGGAAAAAAAAAGGTTCCTTGCCGAATTATATTAAGTGATTCAATGTTTCATCGGCATAGCAGGATTTTTACAGGAAAGAAAAAAAAAAGTTCCTTGCCAAGTTCTGTTAAGTGATTCAATGTTTCATCTGCATAGCAGGATTTTCATTTCATTTTTTTCCCCCTAACAATTTTTCTGTTTATAATTTAGGGGAGAGTGGGCATGGTTGCAACAAGGGGCAGTTGAAACATGGCTTATTTCTTCAATCAGGATGATCTACAGTTCATACTGCACATGCTCAATTAGCCCCTTATCCTTCCTGGAAGAAAGCAGCCACATGTGACCATTCTTTCTTCAAAAAATAACTTTCATGGTAAAAAAGTACATTTTTAAGTAATTTTTTTTGTTTTGTCATACTGTCTAAGCTGTTTGCGTGAAGCATTGTAAAGACATAGCTGGCATGTGTCAAAGATCTTGTGTCAAGCTAGTATAATAAGTTTTATCATGGCTGTTAGTGTAGGGAAAATTAAAACACGTCGTTGGAACTGTCCCAACATGCTGTTCCTTACCACAACATTGATGTAAAAGCTTGCCATAAAATGACAAAATTGTCATTTTATGGATTAATAAAGAACCCCTTTCAATAGTCAGGTATCTCACCTTTTTTTTTTTTTTAGTAAATATTTCTTTTTTTTAATAATTTAGTTTAATGTGGACTTATTTCCTTCTCTCTCACCCTCTCTTTGTCACACACACACACACACACACACATACATACATCATACATACACACACACACACATACATGCACGCACGCGCACGCACACACACACACACGCACACACTTACTTATAAAGTCAGTTTAATAAATAATGGTAGATTTGTCTAATTTGAATCTGAAAAGTAAGACTGATTACCACTTGGTTAACTGCTAGTTAGTCAAACTGTCTTAATATAGTGGCTATGTTTATGCAACCCAGTTCAGTAAACTGTCACAGAAGTTAACAGAAGTAGGCGATTATTAAATGTTAGTGTCTTGATTTTGATTTAATTAATATTTTGTAGTTTAAATGTATTGTAATAATTAACCAAAATATTGTTGTTACTTGTTTCTAGAAAAAGTTTTTTTACCCATTTACTATTCTTTGTTTTTATACAGCCAGTTTAACTTATTGAAGACCCTATCTGTGCACAAATAACATAAAGAAATTGCAAAATTATATTTAAGAATGATTTTAATTACATATTAATGAATGTTGCAACCGTCCCGTTATGGGGTCAGTTGCAACATTTGACTTTGTCTATTCAAGTAGCTATAAATTGTATGTATATTATCATATGTACACGTTTCAGCAGTGTAGGTGGGTAGCTGACAGATGTGGCTTTAATGTATTAGAATTTTGGCTTTCCAATACAAACCGTCTCTGATAAATGCAAAAACTGTTGCAACCGTCCCCACTCTCCCCTGCCTACAACACTACTCAGCTTTGTACTCAGGCAAACACGTGTGTTTGACCTGGGGAAAAAAGCACACCTGTTCCAAGAGTCCTTCAGCAGTACTTCGGGATGTCAAGCTCGCGAAAATTCGCTATTCAGCGTTTGGTTGGGTAGGTTATATTGCACTGATACTAGAATAAATATTGTGCTAATAAAAACGAGCAGGAGGGAGAAAATCGACGAGGAGGGAGAAAACGGTGTTTATAAAGTTGCTTCCGTTAGTACACGAGTCTTTAAGATTTGATTAATTTGATAAACGTTTGAAGACAAACACACGGGTAGCTAATACAAACACAGGTGGATTTTAGTTAGCGACTGTTAGCTACATACGGACCAATGGATTTAAAGTCGGTAGTTAATTTTGCAGAAGTCAGATTTATCAAAAACAGGCATAGCATAGCGTGCTCCTTTTTATAATACAATATATAAGACAAATTAATGCTCACCTCTGTCGATCTGGAAAAAATAGTTTTCAAACCTTGTAAGTCGACTCTCACAAAGTTGGTCCAGAGGTTTCCGCAATGGACACTTTATATGAATCAACAAAAATGGTCAGGGGAAGTTCGAGCACATCGTATCAGATGTCTTTCCTTCAATCTGTGCCTGGTTGTGCTGTCTGTGCTAAAACTGTAAGTGGTGATGTTCCGCCCCGTAATGGTTCAGTTATTCACCTGTGTTAAGTGAAAGAGAACGGCTGTGTAACACAAAATAAAATATTTTGAAGAATGTTGAATGACAGTTTTGGTTACCATAGACTTCCATTGTATGAAAAAGTATGAGACATTTCTCAAAATATGTACGTTTATGTTTCACAGATGAAAGAAGTCATACAAAGACATGAGGATGAGTAAATGATGACAGAATTCCCATTTTTGGGTGAGCTATCCCTTTTATAGAGATATTACCCTTCAAGTACAATCTGATTTTTAGAATTGGCTATAGTGAATAAAATCAACTGTGATTCAGATTACCTATTGTTTGTTTAAACATTTTTTGCAAACAAACATTTTAGCTTATGTGTAAATTGTTTGAGGTAGACAACCAATTCGTTTAGACGTTAGAAGTTTAGACATAGAGGGATTTATAGTGGTTTGCCTAAGTTTGGTTCTTCTCTCAGCATCTCTCAACAGTTTGGTACAACATGAGGTTTAAAAGGGTAGGCTAGTCCAACCAAAAATAAAAGTTCTGTCATAATTTACCCACCCTCATGTTATTCCAAAACTGTCTAACTTCTTTTTTTTTTTTTTTTTTCTCGGTGGAACACAAGATATTTTGAGAAATGTGTGAGAAGTGTTTATTTTTTGGTCTATACAGTGGAAATCAAAGGTAACCAAAACTGTTAGTTTGCAAACTTACTACAAAATATCTTGTGTGTGTGTGTGTGTATGTGTGTGTTTTAAAGGGTTACTCCACCCCAAAATGAAAATGTTGTCATTAATCACTTACCCTCATGTCGTTCCAAACCCGTAAAAGCTTTGTTCGTCTTCGGAACACAATTTAAGATATTTTGGATGAAAACCAGGAGGCTTGTGACTGTCCCATTGACTGCCAAGTAAATAACGCTGTCAAGGTCCAGAAAAATATGAAAGACATCGTCAAAATAGTCCATCTGCCATCAGTGGTTCAAGTCATAAAATTCAGATTGAACCACTGATGGCAGATGGCAGATGGTTTTTCCCGGTTTTCATCCAAAATATCTTAAATTGTGTTCCGAAGACGAACAAAGCTTATACGGGTTTGGAACGACATGGGGGTAAGTGATTAATGACAAAATTGCAGTTTGCATTCAGTGGATACTCTCCAAAATGACGCTACGGTGACGTGGAGGAGACGAATTGTTGAATAAAGTCGTTATTTTTGTTTTCTTTGCGTACAAAAAGTATTCTCATCGCGTCATAAAATTCAGATTGAACCACTGATGGCAGATGGCAGATGGTTTTTCCCGGTTTTCATCCAAAATATCTTAAATTGTGTTCCGAAGACGAACAAAGCTTATACGGGTTTGGAACGACATGAGGGTAAGTGATTAATGACAAAATTTTCCTTTTGGGGTGGAGTAACCCTTTAAAGAAGAAAGTCAAGTCAAGTCACCTTTATTTATATAGCGCTTTTAACAATACAGATTGTGTCAAAGCAACTTTACAGTATTAAATAGGAAAATAGTGTGTCAATAATGCAAAAGGACAATATTAAACACTCAATTTTCAGCTAAAGGCAGTTCATCAGAAAGAAATGTAACTATAAAAATTTAAATCTGTAACAGATTACATTTTTTGTTGAACTATCCCTTTAATAAATTATGGCAAAAATTTCATTTTGGGTGAACGGTTCCTTTAAAGATCTGGAAGTCACTACAATTAGTGCACTCTTTGCCTTTGCCAAAGACATCTGCTAAATTAACATGTGACCACATGTTGAATGCTTATTGCCAAGGAAATTCCCTCATGGAGATGCTTCAACATTTTGTAGCCTAGTTTTGTGCCATATTACAGCTTTTTAATTGTTTTAATTGTGTAATGTATGCTTTCACAGATCATCGGTGCATCTTTTGTCTTTATTTAAACTCCTTTAGTACTAATTTTTATTAAAAAATGCATGTTTTTGCATGCTTCCTAATGTTTGAAAATGTTGACTTGAAAGGCAACATTTAACCACAAATTGCACAACAGCATTTTGTACCTGTCACGCCCCTGGACTCTTTGTGTTGTGTTTTCCCTCCCCAGGTGTCCCGTATTTCCTTTAATTAGACATTCCTTGCACCTGTGTTTTCCCAATCACCCAGTGTTTAAAAGCCCCAGTCCTTTCAGTTAGTGTGGGTTGGTCCTCGAACGTCATTCCATGTGTTTCTGTGTCTCCTACGTTCCCCATGTGATCATTAAAGACTGTGAATTGAAGTTATTCGGGCAAAAAAAAAAAACAAGGCATAGCAAATGACAGACAGAAAATAAAAACACAAATGACCTTCACAACACCAGTTACAGAGTAAAAAACGAATAAAAACTTAACATGTAACAGTCACTTACACTGCCTGAAGTATTTTAGAGTGTGTGCATGTGTCGGTATGTATCTAGATACTGGTATACGTGTGCCAGAAAGGTAAACGTTTGGCTTCAAAGCACAGTGGAAAAGTTAGAAAAGCTCTTTGATGAAAATGACACAACATTGGTTTGGCACTACAACGTTCCTTAATTTAGTGCATTGTAGCAAATTAGGCCAAGAGACAGAGGTACGAGTTCACAGAGAGGGCGACAGTGCTGTGGAATTCAGCATGCAAACAGAAGGTTAGCACACACTAGCATAAATAGGTAATGCACTAATGCGTAAAGCAACACTGCAGTCAGACCCTAGGCTATTTACATGGCTTTCATTTATGACTCTTAAGTTTGCAGAAACATCAACCCAGAGATTCATATGGAAATAAAAAACAAAAACGCTCCTTTTAGTTTAGGATTGGCAGATTATGTCACCAGCAGAGCAAGAAACAGAGCGACACGAGACGTAACTACATAACTAAATACAAAACAAAGTCAAAACATCCATCATCTGAAATACAGTGCACTTCTAGTTAATTAGTGATCAATTTGTTCATAACTCTCCCAAAATATTGTGAGGAAAGAACAAGGGCAGGGATAGTTCACCCAAAAATGAACATTTGATGTTTATCTGCTTACCCCCAGGGCATCCAAGATGTAGGTGACTTTGTTTCTTCAGTAGAACATTAATGTGTGTCTTCTGAACACAGAACACTTGTTCCACAAGATTTTTTTTATTTATTTTTTTTTATTACAAGGGTTTTAAGGGTTTATTGTTCTATCTTTTGTAAAGAAGATTCTCAAAAAGAAGCAATTTTCAATGCCATTAAACCCTGTTAGGTCAGCACACTCCAGAACAAATATTTTGGCAAGAGATAGGAAAATACAAACTATACAGTGGGTATAGCAAAGAATTACCCCCTTTAAAATAATCACATTTTGTTGCTTTGCAGCCTGAAATGAAGACGGACAAATTGGCATTTGGGGTCAGTTGCTCTGAGAGAGAGAAAGAGATAAAAAACAGAAATAGTGGTGGGGTGTGTGTTAGGTTATGCAGATGACGATTAGAAGTATGCTAGAATGTTCTTGTATGAGCATCTTTTATTTGTTGTAATGTGTATAAGATAATCACCATAAAGTTTTATCGGCTGAAGTCATGATCAAATGAAATGTTATGAAGTAAAATGGTGACAGATTTACACTCTGAACACCTTAGTGCAGGATGACTGTTTAGATCCATCAGGAATACTTTCTATTCCCATAGGCAGCAATGGTGTAGAAAAGCATATGCAGAGCATTACAATTAAAACATTATAATTAAGCCTCTGTACACTGCGACTACAAAATGCAACTCCCTGTTACATGTACTGAAGCTTATTTCATTTCATAATATTTCACAAAATATTAAAATGTGCTTCATGAGCATGAAAAGTACACACATCAAGGATGCAAGAGTGTTTATGCCTGTTTGTTAAACACGGTGATGTATTGAGATAAACTCGTTATGAAGGATTCTGGTTATTCTTCCTGTCCACCCACTGAGCAAAAGCATTGGAATCTGTCAGTTTTGTATGGATTTGTTTTTCAGTTCACATTTCTAATTGTTGTTGATAAGTGATTTCAAACTTTCAAAACAGACGCAAACAAATCAGCTGTATGTACTCCTGAAATCGTGCTGAAATAACATTCTGCGTCAGGTCGGAATGACTCAATGGAAAGACAAAGCCAGCAGATTCTGCAGGTTCTGCTCAGTTTGCAAGTTGTGCTTAGGATGTGACCCTTACAGCTTAAAAGGGTCTCATCCTTGTTTTAAGGCTTCAAAACTGTCCTAATGGCACACAATGGAAATTTGAAAGATTTATAACAGTATATTCATGTTTCAGCATGTACTCGCACATCTAACACATCTGTAACTCAGCAATTCTACATTCCAACGAAAGAGTAACACTTTAAAATAAGGTTTATGGGGTATATGAACGAAAATGAACAGCATAAATTAAATGAATAAAATGTTAATGTCTTCATACACTAATACATTGAAATATCCAAACTCACCATGCCTAAAAATATCTGGGTGCGTAAGCCACAATACTCTGAAAAATTGCAAAAATGGTCTGCACTCTATAAAGGTGAAAAAAAGTATATGCCCCAAAGGGCACTGAAGACGGTCATGCTGTGACTGAAACGTTTGCCATTCCTTAAAGAAGTCCAAGTTAAAGAACTGATTTGGATTCCATGTATGAGTGTAGTTAGCAAAGCAGTCCTCTGAAACATCTGAAAGATGGCACTAAAATTTTGTATTATGCAGTACAAATACAAGTAATGTATTAGATATTTAATATGCACTATATAAGTCTAAATGCTTTCAGGCTGATGGCATGAAATTCACTTACACAAGTTCATGTTATACATAACACTGGAGTTTGAGATGATAAAGCATTTTGCAAAATAAGACAATTTCAGGCATTTTCTTGGCCCTTCAAAAAAAAGAATAAACTTGTGATTGCTCTGAATAAGAAACAAGAAACACGGTTTATAAGAGACCAGCTACTCCCCTGCAATTTAGTTGGACTGGCCTAGGTACTCATGCTCTGCTGACCTTAAACAAGAATTAAACTTGTTTCCTTTTGAGCCCCCAGGATTCATTGGATCTACAGGAGCCAGTGTGCCGCGGCAGCCAGCAGCAGAGCCGACCCCAGGGTGGAGGCTAGCGAGGTGGAGAGGGGCCCACCGTTGAACACCAGCTTGTAGGACACCACCTCCTGTTGCAGGCCGCTCTCCTCCACCATGCAGCGGAACACGCCCTCCTTCAGTGGCAGGTCAGGGGTGGGCGCCAGCACACAGGAGGAACCGGAGATGGTACAAGGATATTGCTTGATGCAGTTGTCTTTCTCCCAGCGGTAAGTGGCATGATAGGAATGCACGGGGCATGGTAGCAGGACGGGTCCATCTTTATCCACTAAAACTTGTTTGGGGATGGTGCTACGTGCCTTAGGAGCTGTAGCCCAGGATGACAGGAAATATTTTAGTGTGATGAAATTATTTTGAATAAAAATACTTTTATTTTATATATACTCTACTGTTCAAAAGTTTGGGATCAATAAGATTTTTTGGAAGAAGTCTCTTTTGCTCACCAAGACTGAATTTCTTTGACCAAAAATGCAGTAAAAACAGTAATATTATGAAATATTTTTGCATCTTAAAATAACTATGTTTTATTTTAACATATTTTAATTGTAACTTATTCCTGTGATGGCAAAGCTGAATTTTCAGAAGCCATTATTTCAGTCTTCATTGTCACATGATCCTTCAGAAATCATTCTAATATGCTGATTTATACATTTTTCAGGATTCTTTGATTAATAGAAAGTTTAAAAGAGCAGCATTTCTTTGAAATACAATTTTTTGTAACAATGTAAAACTCTTTATTAATTGTACACAGTATATATATATATATATATATATATATATATGACACTGAAGCAACAAAATGTGATTATTTTAAAGAGGGATGGTTCTTTTCTATACCCACTGTATATAGAATCAATGCAAAACTGGGTTTAAGTGGGAATTTGGAAAGAAGAAGAATCTGAAACTGTTTGGAAATATTTCAGATACTTCAGTGCTATAAAGTGTTCAGAGATACAACCAGAAAACTGCACTTTTAGAAGTCGTTTTGAACAACCTACCTGTAACATAGCCACAGACCAAGGCATTGGAGTGGTCAAGGGTCTGAACAAGAGTTCTGATTTTTAAATAAGGAGAACAGAAAAATATGAAACTTAGGTTACTTCAACAGGAAAAACAGTTATGCATTATTGTTTTGGGATATTTGTGAGTCCATATGTACCCAGGGCTAATGCTGTAGTCTGCTGGGATTGCAGTACATTTCTTCTTGGACACATCCCACGCACAATATGGATCTCGTGAAAGGATGCATTCCTGGCAGCTGGCTCCGTAACGACCACAGTCAGCCAGGGGGATGCGCTGCACTTCAAGCTCTGTGCCAATATAGAGATGACCCTGGCACAAAGCAGAATACAGGGGTGAAAGGTGCCATCTGGCTCCTATCAAACACTATTTTAAATATCTATGTGAACAGCCTTTAAATTACTTTCTCATTGTAAATTAAAAAGAGTGATTCAAAGCTAAAAATAATTAGATTGCAGTGGAATAATATGTCCTACCACTGCAGGCTAAAATTGTCCTGTTTTAATGTGAGTTAGCTTCTTTAAAATGTGGGCCACTACCTTTTTAGAGTCAATGGCCATGTTGATGACAGAACTATCATCATGGAATAAAGAGTACTGTGCTATGATAAAGGCTCCTTCTATGGCATGTAGCACCTTCAGGACTTTTCCCTTCTCTGTACAGGAGACACAGGAAAAAGTAGCATTGGAAAAGACACAAAAACAGTAATACAATGAGTATAAAAAAATAAATGTGGTGCTAGATATTGGTGCCATATTGAATATTTGTTGATAGTAGAGTTTTTTTATTTTATTTATCGGTATCTCTCAGTATAATATAATATAATCCATTATATCCATACAATATATAATAATGGATATTTAAAGGGGTCATATGATGCGATTTCAATTTTTCCTTTCTCTTTGGAGTGTTACAAGCTCTTGGTGCATAATGAAGATCTGTAAAGTTGCAAAGACTAAAGTCTCAAATCCAAAGAGATATTCTTTATAAAAGTTAAGACTTGTCCACTCCCTCCTAAAACGCCTCGTTTAAACATGCCCCCACATGTCTACGTCACTGATGTTGGAAGATTTGCATAACGCCGCCCAAATGTTCACGCAAAGAAAGAAGGCGTAACTTTTATTCTTGCTGTAGTATTGTTGTTGCCGCCGCCGCCATGTCGTGGAGATGCTGTGTGTTTCGTTGTGAAAGCGAAACTACTTTGTTTGGCCTTCCAAAAGAGGATGATATCCGCTTCGTCATGCCTGGAGCTGATCTGTGGTGGTCGCTGAGGAAATACATAAACTCCGTGCTGTGGATCGCCGGATCGGCTTTCACCGTGTACGAAGCGGAGTCCAGCCCGGGGACGTCACATGTGGTTGCTGCAAGTCCTCCGGCCGCGCCGTTTTCAAGCCCACCGGCCATTCCTCACTCTAGCCCTCCGGCCTCCACTCACTCAAGCCCGCCCGCCAGCCATTCCTCACTCTAGCCCACCGGCCTCCGCTCACTCAAGACCGCCGTGTGTGACGCTGTGTGTTTCGTTGTGAAAGCGAAACTACTTTGTTTGGTCTTCCAAAAGA